CTCATTCTCTCTCCTTCTCTGCTGTCCTCCTCCATGTTGTCTTGGGACCTCCTCTACATTGTCATAAGCAAACAGCCATTCAGAATTGAGCTTACTTTGCAGGCCAGCCATTAAGACACTGTAAGTATTGTGGTTGACATAAATTGAACAAATTTCTATAATTCTTTTTTTACAGATTGTACGTCCTAAGTTGGTCAATGCACGTTACTGTGACAAGTTTGCACATGTGCGGTGGAAGGACGGTTCCATTATGCATGTTCATGTCAGCGGACCAATACACAGAAATTATGAACAGAGAGTTTTGTCAGCTTTGGACTCATATAGAAAAAGGTAAGGGATGTATAAATTTTGTATCTCGTGTAGCTAGCCAGTAACTAAACCTACATTTATCTGATGTTTTCTTTTCTTTGTTCTTCAGAATGGAATGGCTACAGCAAGGCAGTAGAGAACTGTTTGGTACAATTATTGAAGATCAGGTTTGTACAGGTGTATCATTAAGATAAAATGTAGATATCCTTTGTTGTTATGTGTATCTTAGTGAAGTATCATACATGCACTGAGTAACTTTTTTTTTTCTTACCTAGGTGGCTGTGCTGATCGACACTTCAGCATCCATGGCGTCAAGATTGTTTCTTGTGAAAGACAAACTGTACAGACTGATGCAGGTTTGTTAAAACAACTTTAACAAAATTGAGATTCCTAAGGAATAATAGAAGTATTGCACAATAATTTAACAGCACGTCACTCATAAATTCTGTATTGCATTCTTCCAAGGCACCAAGCTTCTGTTAATTTAAGCATTTTAACTGGCAGAGTTAAGGAAATGGGCGGGGTTTCTTAATTAGATACAGTGGAACCCTTCTTATTGCCACCCCCCTAATATTGCCACCTCGTTATTATGGCCATTTTATTCTGGCCCGAACAAAAGCTCAGTCAGTCATTTTCTTATTTTAATACGGACCCTGTTTATACAGCCAGATTTTTGTGGCCTGTTAGTGACTGAATTAACAGAGTTCCACTGTTTCTACGTTTTCTTACACTTCTTACTCATTGCACTGAGTGAATAATCAGATATACACTGTGTGTGGGTAACCTAGTACATGTCTGTGCTTTGCTGCACAGTTCCCTTGCACAAGGTTTTCTTTCTGTCGATCTTCTATTCTCCCACATCTCATTGGTAACAGATCCGTCTTTCACCATCTTTAGGAGCAATTGCGTCACAAGGTGAAGTTTAATCTTGCCAAATTTGATACCAGAGTTCAAGCCTGGAGAGATCGACTGGTGGACTGCAACACACATGTAAGAGAGAAACAGCTTGTTTGAAATCAAACGTTGATTGTCATTTTATTTACCATAGTTATCTCCAAAGCGTAAAGATTTCTGCAGGACTATTTTAGGGTCGGTAAAAGCGTTCTGTAAGTATGTAAAAAGAGCACTACCGGTATTTCCTAGAGGGTATATAAAAGGGTTAGCTTTATATATATGCATATAAAAGAGTAAGGGTTTGGACCTCGGGGTTGGGGGAGCTTTCCCGTAAAAACGTTTTCGAGTTTCCCCTAGAGGTGATAGGTGGAAAATTTTCTTATCTTAATTTGTGCTTTTTTTTAGAATCTGGATAATGCGTGGCAGTGGGTGAAAGGCCTTAGTACCGGTGGCTCCACAAACACTCTGGCAGCTCTTAAACTGGCTCTGGCTGATCCTCAATGTCACGCAATCTACCTTCTAACCGATGGACGCCCTGACCAGGTACAGTACATGCAGATCGTTCTATTCTGCTCAGTCCTTGTTGCTTTTAACGAATTTTATAGCAATTCCAATCGGTATAGTCACGATGGACTTATAAACCAACCGAAAGACAAAGCTAAAACATGTTTAATACCAACTGTTACCATTCTCAAGTAATGTGAACCTTAGCATGAAGCCGGAAAAATAGCCTCGCGTCTTTCTCGATGATCTTCAGGAGAAAGAAGATCTGGTTGCAATCTACAGGATCAAATTTGGTTCAGTTAAGGTTTTCAAATAGATGACCTGTTGTTTTTACTTTCTTTTTCAGCCGCCGTCTTCCATTCTGGCTCAAGTGCAACTGTTGAACCCAGTCCCCATTCACGCGATCTCCTTCAACTGCGCAGATACTGAAGCTAATCAGTTTCTCTGCCAGTTGGCAGCTGAAACTGGAGGCAGGTAAATCACCAGATATTGTAAAGTTAATGAATATTTTTTTTTCTTGCGCTCCGTGCTCGCCCTCACTGTTCATGACCATCTATCGCGCTCCGTGCTTTAGGTAGATCAAGGGGGAGGGCGGGACTTGGTGGTGCCTGTTTAACAAAACAATGAGGCCCAAAAGGTTGTGTAATATTTTTTCAGTCTGAGTTAGGTACAATAATGCAATTAAGATTGGAGCTCCCAATGTTTTACTCCAGGCTTTGCATTGCATGTAAATCAGGATCTGTCACTAGTGAATATGAATCAGTTTCTGTCGCTGTTTTACTATGTGACAACTGAACTGTATGTTCTGCCTGTTACTTACGAGAAACAAATGAAAATTCTTCTGGCCTGCCATGGTTCACATAATGATAGTGACTGACAACTCGTACAGTGCAACACTCTTTGAAGATACTGTAGTCAAAATATATTTAAATTGCCAGTCACGCAGTCATAACCACTACCACCGAGGTTTTCATACAGGGCATATTTGGCTATTTCTAAGGCGTTTATCAAAGCTGTAACTGGGGAATAAGACCTGAGCGTTAGTTTGGCGATACCCGGAGGCGATGCACTTTACTTGTCGTAAATGGAAATGTTTCTCTTGTCTTAATACCAACAGGTTTCATTATTTTTCTGAAGATGGATATGACATTGATGGTCCCAGGCCGTTTGAGGTAAGTATGCTGTGATTAGGTATTGGTAGAAGTTTATGGAAGGGATTATTCCTATTAGAGGTAAGCTGCGATAAACCAGCATTCCATCCACAGAAAGTAGCTGATTCATCCCACAGAAGCAGCAGTTATCGTTACACTGGCTTTGTACCCTGTTATCGATAAGTTATGTGTGTAGGCTGTTACTAGTAATGCAACGGCATTGTCTAACAGTGCCATGAAAAGCAAAGTTGACTCTTTTCTAACGTCATGCCACGTCTTTACTTGGTTGCGCAAAATTTGAATGTGACAAGCCGTTTATTTTATACATTGTGTACTATGTTTGAATTTCAGAGTGAAGACCTACGACTTTTGAGAGAGGAGATCGAGAAAGGTTTGGCAGATTTGCGCAAAGTGACGCTGATAAGAAATGAATGTGCACAACTTGATTGGTTTGGATCCAATACTGGACGATGCTCCAAGTAAGTAACGATAGAGCAACCCCGACTATAATCTCTTCCCTGGAGCTTGGCCTTTTTCGTTTAACGGTGATGGGACGCGCTGCGTTCTAGGGGAAATCAAAAACGAGAACAACGTAAGGCGCGCGCTGACTTAGCGTGTGAATTGCATGGAGACAGACTAGTAGCGCGAACGTCCTCAAAAGCGATGGTCATACTGTACATCTCCGCGGTTTGGGGATCTCATTTGTTATAACAGCGTTTTCATCTGTTGCTTCCAACAGGAGCCACCCAAGATCGGCGAGCGCGTCTTCTCACAGGCCGTTCTCGGCGAAACACTCCATGACCCCATCTCCACCCAGCTCAGAACGCTCAGGTAATGGCAGGATTCGGCCGGCCTCTGCAAGGCCTCGCCCAGCTAGTGCCAGACCACGCCCAGCCAGTGCAAGGTTAACGTACAGCAGTCACAAGGACTACATCGTCAACACTGCCTGCCGGGATATCCCGCAGTCTCCGTCTCCGTCCCAGATCTCCAGAGGTTTCAAAGTGGGAGAGACGAGGACGAGTCAAATGAGACTGAGTCTGAGCAGGAAAACAACTGATTCTTGGATGCTTCAAGAGACGAGAGAATACGTCGCCAAGAAGCCTGAAGATTTCAAGCAACGCCAGCCAAAACGTAATGAATTGTACATTGGTAGATTCGATTCTCTTTGAGCTTAGAAGTAATTGTTTGAAATAATAGTCTTCCTACTTTAAGCGGAAAATAATCTTGACTCCACGCTTACAGTCTAATGGCTACACCGTATTATGTTTTAGGGAAACCTAAGAAGAAGAATGGGTCAAAATCAAATGGCGACCAAGAGTGAGTAATTATATGAAGTACGTTGTGTTGCATCCCTGTGAAAAACTGCGGGCTCAGGGCTGACTAACTGCTCTTTGGCTCCCTTTCATGTCCGTTCTTTTGATTTGTCCTCCAGAATTTCAAGCTACATGTATTTGGAAAGGATAGCTACCTTTCCAAATCCTTCTCTAGTGTAGACTATTATGTGCATACTAGGTTATGTTGCAGTTGAGTGAAAAGACGTCTTTTATCGCGTTTTGATTTCTTCCGGAAGAATTTGATTTTGAATTTTCTCACCCAAGTAACAACCAATCAGGGACGCGAGACACATCTCTTGCTATGTCATCAAAATGGAATTGTTCGGGTTTAGACGCCTTTCTAGCGGGAAGAATTGAGAAGACGAAGAGAGAATTTTTGTTTATTTTGACTTCATAAATCGTCACTAAAGTGGGATTCTGGTAAGCGCGCTCAACTCCTGATAGAGCTGTCCGGGTTTGAGTCCTAGCTTGGGTCACTGCGTTGTGTTCTTGTGGGAAAACACTTTAATCTGACAGCGTCTCTCTCCACTCAGATGTATAAATTGGTACCGGCGAATTTAATGCTAAGGGGCAACCCTGTGATCCGCATCTCATCCGGGGTGAAGTGGAAATAATCCTAGTCGCTTTATGCCACGGAAACCCGGATAACCTCTGGCTGTATAGACCACTTGGGCCGATACACACTTTACCTTGCCTTTGAAATCGTCACTAAAATAAATATTTGTGTTTTCTTGTAGCGACGAGGACTTGACAGTTAAGAAGTAAGTAAAGTATATTTATCCCAACAAAGCTTGAAGGTTTTTTTTTTTTGCTGCTGCTGCTGCTGCTTAGATGTGAGAGTAAATTTAAAGCTTAATACGATTTCAGTTTACTGTTATTTGTTCAGATGGTTAAAGAAACACGGTCTTGTAGCTAGAAAGCTGACTATCCTGGACGCCTTAGCACCCACTGTCATTCCACACAGTACCAAATATGTACCGATACTGGACAAGCATGTTCTCTCCAAAGTGTTTGACCAGGTAAAAACTCTGTTTTGTAAGGTTTAACAAATAAACTGCAGCTTCTTTTGGTGTTCCCAGTGTATCCCTTGTTGTGCCACTCAAACTGGATCGTTAAAATACCACTTTGCTTTGTTTCGGCGAATTTGAAATCACTTTTTCTTTCAGTTAGCAGCTGATGTTGATTTTGTTATTGTTCCAGGTTCTTCCTTTAGCTCATACCTCAGGAAGTAACCGCGACGAAGTACAGCTGGTCAACCCTCAAGCAGTAAATCTGAAGGCGTACGAGGCACGACTAGAAACAGCTATTGAAGACTATACCAGGTAAGAATCATCACTCCATCTTGATAATTCAAATTCTCTGAACTGAAATTAAGAGAAATATGTGACAGTTAGTAAGGAGAATTAAAAATTTTGAACCTGGGTCTAAGAAAGTTGAGACTCTTGTACATGTGGATACCAATGGAGGGACCGTCCTTTGCTTTTTAACACCGCTAAATTGTGATTCATATTCAGCTTATGAACTGTTTTGTTTCAGGCGTCTCAGTGAGCTGGTGTTCGTTCACCTTAGCGATGAAGAAAGAATGAAGTAAGCGATTACATTTCTCATCCTTTTTTTTTTTTGCTGAATTTCCATTTAGTATTAGATTTAGATTAAGTATCTGATTCATTTTTGATGTGCTTGCAACGGCCTTTTCCACAACGCGCGGAGATATTAAAGTCACGAAATTACTCTTGCGTTTCTTGCTCTTTGTATGGCGGAGAAGTGTAGGAAATTTATCAAAAGCCAAATCAATAAAAATATAAATTCAACTAGCGATAACAGTAGCATGTGTGCCACTGTAAAAAGATTACAATCTTTCATAACTTTGGCCTTAAAATGTCTCCTTATTGTTGACTCGAGTCAACTTCAAAAACATGTCGAATTTAATTAAAACGTCGCGTTACAGTGGCAATCAACGCGAAGTTATGTTATTAGTTTGAGTGATAATAAATATTCATTTCTATGTCATTTCTATAGCACAATGGTAGCATGGTGTTTTAACTCGGACTAATGTACATTTGTTTTAATTTTTGTTCAATTTTCAGGTATCGAGAAGACAGAGTTCCATCGTTTCCTGACAATAAACCGTCAATGATGGATGACTTAGAAAAACAAGGCTGGCCGGTTGACCCGGGTGATATCAACTTGTTAGAGAGAGAGATCGAGCAAGCTCAAACATTCCTCCTGCAATCAAGAGATTTGCGACAGAAATCAGAAGAGGTATGGTTAACACTATGACTATCTCCTTTCAATAGCTAAGATCTTGCAAAGGTGATGCGCAGTGAGAAAAAAGATATTCATGAACTGATAATATCTAAGTTTATGAGGACTGATTTGAAAAGAAAAGTCTGTAACTCGTCAGGAAAGTAATTATTATCAGCTGAGTAGTCTAGGAAGTTGAGGACATCGTTTGTGAAAGTAATTCTTCTAACGCTTTTTAGGCCTCACGTGAAATTGCAGAGCAGCAAAGAAAGGCCCGCGAAGAAGCAGAAAACAAGAGAATCGAGCAAATTATGACAAAGGTAAGAAGGTTGATCTCAGGGCGAGCATTTGCCTTTTACTGACTAACTGACCAACTGACCAACCGCCTTCCTAGACAACCGACTGACTGACCGACCGACCCACTGACTGACTGACCGACTGACCGACGGACTAACCAACTGACTGACTGACCGACTGACTGTGTCTAGATGACCAACTGACTGACTGACTGACTGACTGACTGACTGACTGACTGACCGATTGATCGACCGACTGACTGACTGACTGACTATCTGGCTAACCAACTGAGCGACCCGACCGACTGTGTGACCGCCTGACTGATTAACGGAATGATATGCTCGCTCACTGACTGACTAACGGAGTGATTTTTGGATTAATTGATTGATTGTGCGATTGCTCTTTCAAACAGACTGCCAAGCCTGCTCCTGCTCCTACCCAGTCCGTCTCGAATAAGAATCGCCTTCTAAACCACAAGGTCCTGGCGCGAAACGAAGTGGATGGCTTTTACTACGCAGGCGTGGTATCGCGCTGCCTGAATCCGCGTTATGTCGAGGTTGACTTCAGGGACTTTGACCGACAGGTGGTTTCCGCCAGATACGTCATTACCGTGCAGGGAGCCAGGCCTTGTCCCTCGCTCAAGGTACAGTAACGAACACGTGTTTAAATACACAGCTATTGTTTTAAAAAAAAAGAAAGAAAATTATAGGGAACTTCGTCGCCTTACAACAGCGTGGTTTTCACTTCAGTATTTTTGCTGACAAATTAGAGAGAATATAAACTGTGTCTCGACAGTTATAGGAGGCGCGGTAGCCTCATGGTTATTGCGTTCTACCCCAGATCAAGCGGTCCTAGTATGAACCCTGGCCGGGGAAAATTGCATTGTGTTCTCGCACAAGGCAGTTTACTCGCACAGTGCCTCTCTCCACTCAGATGTATAAATGGGTACTGGCAAATTTAATGCTGGGGGTAACCCTGTGATGGACTAGCATGCCAAGGGAGCAGATATACTCTTAGTCGCTCTTCTTGTTACATAGAAACCGGAGATAAGCGCCGGCCTGATGGATCACTTGACTCGTATGCAGACTATACCTAGCCTTACCTACAGTCTGTTGGCAGCAGCTATGCCAAAGGTTAAAAATACAAGGTGTTTTTGAAATAAAACCGCAGAATACGCATTCCAAAGAAATCGTTGTTGAGATAAAAAGGGTTGCAATTGACTTTCAATACTAAAAGTGTCAACGGATTACAATCCGAACTTTCATCTCTATAAAATTAATAGTAGGTCCGTCACGGAATACATGAATCTCCCCCAGCGTTGCGTGACAACTTAAAGTTGACTGTAGATATATTTGAGCTGTTACGTGACTTACTTCATCAGGTGGGTGATTATGTGCTTGTCAAGACCCTCGTTCCACGCGAGGAGGAAGATGACAAGATCAGTGACGGCGTGCAGTGTTATGTCCCAGGGATTGTTCAAGTTGTACCCCTGAGAAAAGCCCCGGCTACCAAGTGCTACACTATACTGCGGTATAACGGAAAGAAGGTTAGTAGAAATCTAAATGTGCATTATGATCCGGATCAGGATCAACGATCCAAGAATACTCAGGTATCAAAGGCATCGGATGAATCCACCTTGGACAAGGGTTCATGGGCTCCTCCACTCTGGACAAGGATTTGTCGGTTTCTTTGATGTCCCATAATCTTACGTGATCTTGGATCGTTGATCCTGATACACATCATGACAAACAAGATGAAGACGTTTGTTCACGAAGATTCTTGATTTTTTTCAACATGTGAGTTGCTCGTCTCAGCATCATAGTTTGTTGTTAAGTCAGTAGTTATAGTTTTGTCAGTGTTTTCGTAGTTTGAACTCACATATGGCTCATTTGTTACCTGGTGAGAATTAGCACGAACTTTGCTAATTTGGCAGGCTTTCAAGAAATAGAATTCGTGGACAGACCCGTTCCGAAAACGCTCGACATTTTTGTATGTAAAATGAGCGTACAGGACATGATTCTTTCAAACGCCTTCTTCATAAAACACAGCTCTCTGTAATTTATGTTGTTCACGAAGAGCGAGCGCAGCAATAGCAAGCTGTTTCAGTTCTAATCCCCAGTTTCCACACCACGCTAGCAACGCCTGGAACCATGACCCCCCCCCCCCCCCCCCCCCTTTTTTGGGGAA